GCCTCAGAGGCCACAGGGAGAGGCTTCCACACCTGCCAACTTTTTCAAGAGTGTAACCAAAGATTCACATTGTGCACATTCCCAGAAAAACAGTACAATTGTCAATGCATGTTATGTAAGAGTTCTGGGTTATTATTTGATATTGTGTGTTAAACACTTTTTTTGTAACAATTACATTTGAATAACGCTGGATGTTGTGCAGGTATGATTATTTGAGATCTTGTAGTCATTGTTTTGCCCTGAAGACATCCCAGTCATGATGAAAACATTGTATTAACATATGTGTCGATCAACGTTTGTGCTCAACACTAAAGCCCTGACCACACTGGGAAAGAGATGTCAGCTAAAATATGTTATTTTCTTATATTTTGTCATTTTAGGCACTACATTTCAGTGTCAGTCTTGGTAAAGTTTGGGTAAACGATAATGAAAATAAGACTTTATCCATTCTCGTTGATAATAAGCCATTCCAAATCCAATAAAACACGCACACATCATATAAACATCAGTCACTGGCTGCCAATTCTTTTCATGAACACTTTGAAAACATGGCAGTCTGACAAAACAAACATGATCACATTAAAATGGACAGACTGTAAACAGATGATGAATATTATACAATAACCACCGATCATCAAAGTTAGAGTTACAGTACTTTCCCATGAGCTAAAGCCTCCCTTGACTTGCTCCAACCTGTCTCTGTAGCCGACTACAGATCAGTCAGCCTGGTGATTTCAAGGCCTCAAAAGCCAACAGGCCACCTCGCCCGGGGTCAAAGAAGGAGTTTCGTGTTTCTCAACGCTCCCACAGTAGGACTGTTTTGTTTGCCTCACCGCAAAACCGAGAATGATAGCCATGGTGCGGCTCCACAGTGCGTTTACTGAAAATGAAGTTATTTGTGATTATCAATTATATTTGCATTTCATTTTAACTGTCTGAAGGTGAATCTGATCAGTTCAGTCACTGTAAGTATTTCTGTGTTAATCCATGTGGGATACACCAGGGTTCAATTCTGGGTCATCTACAGTTTTTTCAGTGTTTTTTCAGTAAAATGTACTATACAAATTAGTTTTTCCTGAGCTGACCACACTCCTAATATGTTTTCAGAACAGGAAATAAAACACCTTTCACTATTTCTAATGTTGTATCCAATGATACGATATTTCAGAGTTCTCTCAATGGTGTCAAGCAAATGTACTAAGCTAACAATAGTGTTTGTCAAAATAGAATTAAAACCAAATTGAGGCACTTTGCTTGCACAACTGACATAGAAAGGTTCGTCATGGATGAACATCCCCTAAACAACTACATCAAATATGTGAATATAAAACAAAAGCATAACTAACCTGACCCTCATTTTGCCAGATACTGCAATGGAGACTGTACATGTATTCCTTTGTGTACAATAGTGTGAGATCCCCTCACCTTTTGATCATATATGTGCTAGTTACCAATAACTAACTTGATTTATGCTGTATAAGAGCCTTTGCTTTATTTACCAAATAAACAAAGACAATCATGCTATTCATTGTTATATTTGTGTCCCAGAAGATGAATGTGAATAAGATAATTATGAGCTTCTAATTTTCTAATATCAAACAACCCTCTCGGGACACGTTAATGCCACACTAGAATGATTTTGGGTCTGACAGTGTCCATCTGGACTTGGATTAAACAGTACATTTTTTTTGTAGACATCCCACAGGCTTTATTTTCTCCACTTCAACATGTGCCAATGACGTAGTCTTAATTTGTGCTAAGTGTAAAAGTACACCAACACCTTCGCTGCCAGCGGCGGGATTTAAGCTACTGTTGATGTTTGCCAACAGCCAGCTAATATAACCTCACAGCGGTTCACAATGGAGAAAGGCTGTGGGGGTCCGGTTCCTTGCTAAAGGGCACCTCTGCGGTTCCCGGGAGACACACTCTTTTTGGGGACTCAAACCAGTAACCCTCCAGTTTTCTAAGTACCTACAGACTGAGCTACTGCTATCCCAACAAAGGCATGCAGTGTATATAATGGGGATCAATTAACTATGCTGCTTGTTTGTTCGGTTTAGTTTTAGTCAGATTATAAAGCATCTGCCAGTGACACATAATGTGGTTGACTCTGAGGTCGTGCAGATCTGATGAGGCAGACCCCCTGGAGGTTTATGAGTGTTAAAGTTGTGCCTGTCCAGAGATCAGCAGATGTTGCTTCCACCCCTCTCCGATAAGGACCTGCTGACTGAAGGGAGGCAGTCTGTGTCTCGGACTAAGTAGTGTGTCTCGCTGGGGAATAGCTTTGACGTAAGCAGCAGTTCCTGAAAAAGGAGAGCGTGATGTCCTTCGTCACAACTTCACTTTTCCAGGCTTTGATGTCACAGGAATAAACCTCAGTGTTTCTTTCTTGTAGTCCATTTATTCCCAACCAGTGCGTCTGTTTTAATCAATAGGGTTAATGCTCCAGGCTTTTCACAGGGTTTCATTAGTCTCACAGCCACCTTTTTAAGGAGTTGCAGCTCTGATCACATCCGACACCACAGCTAGGCCATCACCCACACCAATCTACAATCCACTCCACTGTGCAGTGTTGAATCATACTGTCTGACCAGCTTTGCACACTGTTCTGATAAATAACTGTGAAGTGCTCTTAGCAGCCCTGTTTCCAACGGGCGACTGTCTGAGTTCAATCAATGCATCCGCCAGAAAACAGAGAGAGGTTAATGAGATTTTCCCTCATCGTGCCTCTGTCTTTTTACATCATAAACACGCTGTGGATGACACATCTACTTTGAAACGTGATGTCTGCTGCTGCTTGAGATTCTTATTTGTGTGAGCTTATTTGCACAAACACTGTTGTATGTTTTTGTAGTACACCTCAACATGCAGGTCTGGCAACAGTCTATGAAGGAGAATGCACAAGTCTTGCTAAAGAGAAAGTAAAAAAATAGCTTTTTGCATTATTTCCATACGTTACATGATAAGATCAATACCACTTTTATGTCTGCGTTGTTTATGTAGCTATAGCAGCCAGTTTGAAACCAATAGCTTTGCTCTGTTCAAAGGTAACAAATTATGCATACTGGCAACTTAAATCTGTATAAAAAACAAACTGTAAGCACTGCAATATTCAAAATGTTTATGTGCCAGAATATTTATTTTTCTGTGACCAGTGACTTCACCAAGTCTCCGCTGGTTATCTGGCAACTTCTCAGAGCCAAGAAATAGTCTGGCATAAAACATCCTCAAATCATAAACTAGTGAATTGACATTAATACACTTCGGATTATTTCCTGATTAAACAAACACACAAATGTTAATTAATAGATGAACATGAATGTGTTTCTTTCTGTTTTCCCTCATGCTAAGCTTAGCTGTTGGCTGCTGGCGAAAGATTCATGTTAACTCTAAACACATGAGCATGTTTTCTATTTTCTCATCTATACTCCCAAGAAAGAAATTCCCATTACCCACACGTTTCCTACCAATAGATGACTTACTTTAAAAAGGGGTTGAATTGGGTTTATAATCTGGTGTTTCTTTCACATAATATGTTCTTGATTTTCTCACTTGTCAAACCGAATCATTAACAAATGCATTTAACTTCAGTGAAAAAAATCACATTCAGAGTTGCCGTTAACCTCAGTAAGTGTGTCGTGTTTAAGGAGCTGGCATGAAGCTCTGATTGTGTACCTTTTGGTACGGCTAAATTTGACTCCACAGCACACAACCCTAATCAGCTGCATCAAAACAATCATTAACTAACCTCCCGTTGCCTCCTTTATTTTTCTCTGCCTCCTTCTCCCGCACAACAGAGGGCGAGACTCTAGACAAACACCTCAGAGACTCCTCGCTTCACCTCGCACACCCCATGTCCCATCATCCCCTTTACTGAGCTCCATAATAATACCTCACACACAGCACAGAGGCTGAAACAGTACTACACACACTGACAAAAACAAGCTTTCACAACACAATGTTCGGCACATTTGAACATTATGTTGTTGACAATGTTCAGACGGACAGTGTTTCACTTTCAGCATGTACATACGGATATGAATTATGAAATGATGTCTGTGTCCTGCACCTTTTCAAGCCTTTTACTGCCACATGATAATTGTGTGTGCAGGTTGTTTTTATGCATTACTCCTCTTTACAGCTACTCTGTTAATGGTGGAGCATGTAGCTGAATGGACGTTTTGATATAACTGCACAGCACATTTGTTTATTTTAGAGTGTTTCCTGGCTTTTTATGCTTAAAAGAAATTACACTGTCCACTCACAGAGCAAACATGGCTCTGGGTTGAAACTATGTAATAATGTTGAATTCATTCTAATGGCGTCGGTTTATATAAACACTGGCATAGAATAATCTGTTCCAGAATTAAATTAATGACCAATTTTGCTGTTTATGAAAGAGCTAAATATACAATATAGTCCTGTCAGCCTAAACATCCTTTCAACATCGAGAACAGAAGGTTTTTTGCAGTGAACAAATTAAATCCCATTAAACACTTTTGATACATGTTTTTCGTCTAATGAAACCTCAAAAGACAAATATGTTCATTCATATTTATATATAAAATCACTGTGGTACATTAATGTATCGTTCTCATGTGTTCTGGTTATCTTAAGTAAACATTAAAACTATAAACAATGGGTTTTCGTCGGCGACACACCAATCTCCTCTGTGTTTATTCTGGCTCTTTAATGGTGTAAAGGTCGTAAACCTGAGGCATTGGCCGTAATATAAGTGCTGTTCTCCCATTCGTTGTGAGGTTACAAGCAGGCCATTGATAGGCTGCCTCTGAATGGGTTTCGGAGGAAGCCATCTGCTCCTGTTTATGGTTCATTAACCGCGCTACCCCTGGATAACCAGGCTGCCCCCACAGCAACAGGTACAGAAAGCCGGGGCTCTGAGATGATACTCAGAAAGAATAATAACTGATCCAGTCTTGTTTTTGCTTCAACATGCACATGATTTATTTAATCGTTACCATTAACAACAATAACTGGAAAATTCTTACCTTCCCAGAAGTCCATATGCACACTGGGAATCTGCTAGCAGTAATGTGATCTCTCTCTTCTGCATGGACATGACACACTCCTCCAGGGCCTACAGGTGTCAAAACACATTCTGTTATTAAGAGGACAGATTGGGCTTTTTACATAATCACACTCAATGCGTCATCACTTTTTTATAGTGCAGTTAATCAATTGACTAAGACGTCTGAAGGGTTTCTCAGTTTCAAGCTTCAGTTTTTTGCCATTTCAGATTCATGATGGTAAATTGTTTTCAGACAGAATATCTATCTCCAATTGTCATACAATGTTAGTGAATGAGTGAAAAGTCTCAATCTATGGTTTAATGCTCTGGTTTCTGAAAACGATGTAGCACAATGGTTTGGCTTATTGAAAGCTAATGTAAATGCAGGGTTCTTGCTATTTTTATTTTGTATCTTCAGCTTTGGATAAAAGTGTCAGCTAAATGAAATGTAATGTAATAAAAGTGTCAGCTAAATTAAACCCTTTTTTTTCTTACTTTTTTGGTACCACCCTGGTCAAAGTTCTAAGTGAGCTGAGCCGTTACTAGAAGTGTGAGTTTAAACACTACAGATCACTGAACAGTCAGAGGAAATCGTCACTGGCGCGACGCAGGACAAACGCATTTCTTTAGGATTCGGCCCAGATTTTAAAAGATGGAAGCATGCTAAACCACACCGTACATTATGGCAAACGAATTAAAAAGTGTAGACGGTTTCTTAGCAGATAAAAGGCTTCAGTAAGTCTTGCATTTATTATGATGTTGTGGCAAATAGATTTGGGGAAAGGACCTGGCAAAATAAAACAAAGACCACTATAGTTGCATGACTCAATATCAGCACCACTAAGCCAAAGGTAATTTAAAAGCTTCACATGTTACCAGTGGGGTTTTAAGTGACGTTAGGAACAAGAAGTGCAAGAATTCTAACCATATCCATTTCAGATTGTTATGACTCATTCCTAATAAAACTAAAAGTGTTTTACCTGGTTAACATCTCCCTCTCCGATAACAAAGACCAGCTTGGTGTCCTTCTCCACCACGGTGCGGTCCTCCACGACACACTGCATCTTCACAGAAACCTCCTGGCCCCAGACAGGTATCAGGGCGTCAGGGGCCCCAGACTTCACCAACTTCTTCCTCAAGAGTCGGTCCTCTGCGTGAGGAAAGAAAAGAAGGTCATGCAGGAAGAAGCAGGGTTAATCTGTTACTTGTTGGTAAACACATGCTACAAAATCCGCCAAAAGAATCGACAAGCTTGAGCTTGGTCCAATTTTGGGACATCGTCTTGTAGTCTGTGGTTTCAATCTAATCTGAGATGTAGAAGTTTAGATTGAGTAAATGAGCTACTACTTGATAGATTACTGATACGATATTACCTCACAATACCCAGCCTAAAGTGTCTCAACAAATTTAAAATGTGTGATTTGGGTTATATAAATCAACTTTAATTGAATTGATTTCCTCACCAGTGATGTCGAGCCAATCGTCTGCCCCAAAAAGCTCCTCAAAGGTGGAGGAGGTCCACTCCTCCGTCACATATTCTGGAAAGAGACTTTCTGCTGAGCTGTCTATTTCCAGCACATCGTCGTCCATCGATGGTTCTTGAAATCGCACCGTCTTCCAGCTGTTTGTTTTCTGCAGTTTCCTCTGCTCCTTGCATGCTGTGTCTCCACATTGCTCCGGATCAGAGGGCTTTCTTATATCGGAGCTTTGACTCTCTCCTGCACAGCTCTCTGCTTCAGCCTGCTCTTCCCCATGCAGCTCCTGGCCTTCCTCTGCAGACCCACAGGGCAGCTCGGTGTGAGTGTCATCATCTGCAGGTTCAGTTATGGCCTCTTCTACTTCAGGTTTGGTAGGCTTTGGTGCGGGGTCGAACTCTTCACATTGCTCTGTCTCCATTTCAATGCAGAGAGCGACACCACCTGCATTCGCCTCGAGAAGGACTGATCCTCTCTGTCCGAGCCAATGTTCCACTTGGTGCAGGTTAGTAGTTCTGTTGAGTAGCAACTACTAAAATCTGTGAAAACATAGAAAAAAATATCTCCATGACATAATGTTGACAAAAATCCATGTTGTGCTTTAATAATCCAACTCAGGAAGAATCCCTTAATCCCGGTTTCATCTAAAGTTCTTTGTCCCGCCTGCTGCTGCGTAGTTTTTGCAGGTTTTGTTGCACCTCCTCAAACTCCTGCTTGTGTTTATCTTAGTCTACATGGTCCATTGATGTGGCAACGACAAAAAAATGATCAATGTGAAGAAACCGTGCATAGCAACGAAGCACTCCCAGCCAGCAGGCTTGTGCAGTGGTAATCTGCAGGATTAGAAGAGAAAAACCTAATCTGCCAGAACGTCTGTAAGCTTCTTAATGACTTCACCGTCGTGCCCCACAACACAGTTTCCATGAATGCAATCCACCAATAAGATCTCAGGAGATACAAACTCTTACTTAATTTGCTTTGGGTTGGGTTGGAAGATGTTTATTTTCACTTGTCAAGGAGTGTCATAATAATCTGCAGGCTGTAAAACATTGTAATGTTTTTAACCCATGAAGGTGAATAAACGTGGTTTTCTGTCAGGTTTATCAAGACACTTAATTAAACTTAATCTCATAAAAATACAGATAAAAGCTAAACTCCAAGTATTTAATGGGAAGACTTTATTCCTTTCATTGGAGCATAATTAAATTCAGCAGAATACGTCTCAACTGCATGTTGCGACATTAAAATAGCAGGGTTAAAGTGACGAGTAATAAGAGTAGTCTACATCTTTTATTAACATTTATACCATAATAAATCACTGCATCATAGATTAAATGTACAGCTGATGTTCCGGCCACAAGACACATATTTTGCTTAAAACATCAAATTTTTCACAGATGGTGATAACAGGATTACAATTATGTTAATTAAAATGTCATATGACTTCAAAGGCATTATGAATCTGTAATTTCATTGAATGAATAGCACATGTTATTTTACCCAGTTGTCCTCCATTGAAAAGTTATTTATCATTTCACCAAAGGTAATAATGAACAATTACACATTATCAGATATGTGGCTGTTATGTCCCTGTAGGAGCAGGACTAGACTCATGTAGTGCTGATGATAGACAGAAAACATCCTCCCGGCCATATTGTAAATAAACCCTGCGTTACTGACTGTCAGGCTACTCTTTAATCCTCAACCAAAACATGTTGTCCATCAGAGATTAAATTAATCCCAATTCCCTATTCGTCGTTTTCATTTCTATGTTGCACAGTTACAAGATACACACACTGTTAGTATAAAGGTAACATTTTAGGGAGTTTTTTTGGATAAATACTTCTTAATTATTAGTGTATGGGATTGTATTCTATCTATAAGATATCTTTAAGAAAAAATACTTTTGATTTAATAGTGTACTTTTTAGAATGTTGAGACTTTGGTACTTTCCTTATAATAAATGTATAATAAAAGTTGGAAGTTTCTCTGCACTGCACAAATACATACTAATGTCTTGACATTATAATACTATTGTCACACGTAACAGGTTTTGATGTGCGTGATGGATAAACACATAGAGTACATTTACCGAATTCCAGCAACTTGGACACAGCATAGATCAAGACTAAATAAAAACAGTCTTTGAGTCGAATGAGATCTGGAAAACGAAAGTAAACTAGTTATTTAACTCGTCCTTCCTCTCTCTCTCTGTGTGTGTGTGTGTGTGTGTGTGTGTGTGTGTGTGTGTGTGTGTGTGTGTGTGTGTGTGTGTGTGTGTGTGTGTGTGTGTGTGCGCGTGTGTGTGTGTGTGTGTGTGTGTGTGTGTGTGTGTGTGTGTGTGCGTGTATAGCGTGTATATTATGTGTATAGTGTGTAGTGTGTGTTAGCTCCGCCCACAGCCTCTCTCCTCCGTGACGTAGCAGGCAGTATGTCGCCAATAGTGTTCAGTTGTAGAAATGGCAGCGCTGAGACAGGAGCATCGGTATGGGCTCTCCTGTGGCAAAATCAACAAAAACAACCCAAATCAAACTCTATATCACGTCAAACTCACTGACACTGCCATCCGGACCCTCGAAGGCTACCAGAACCTGAAGGTAAGAAAAAAGATCGGCTTGAACTTTGGAGCTAGTGTGTGTTTTTTCAAGCTATATTTTCTATTATCTAAATCGCTTCCCAACTCCGGGAACTGTAAAATCCCTGTGGTTTGGAAGCTCGTTCTTCCCTTTTACTAGGAAACAAAGTAAAGTTTAAATAGTTGAGCTGGTCTTATCGAAAGAAGTTGGTGGTTGTTAATGTTGTTTTTGTGTTTGGCTGTTAGAGAAGGCTTGGCTGGATTTATTGTGATCATAACAGGCAATTCAATAGATCTGATGAATGACGGGATTTCATTAAATTCCCCCTTTAAACCCTGAGTGAAATGTGTTTTGTGCAGAAAAGGGCAGGGTATTTTAATTTCTGCTTGTTTACCAAAGCGTAATCTCCCGAAAAACCAAAAGGTATTAAAGTTCACGTATGACAGGCAGAGGTTTGTGATAATGCCCTGAGCTTTAAAACCTTTGTGTTGTCTCTGCTTTCTACACATACATTACATGTGAAATTCATTATTTAGATGTAGGGCGAACACATTATTGTCAGTCATTAGATGTTTTTTTCTAAAGGCAGTTTTTGTCTTGCTTGTTTTGCTCTCGGGAATAAATTAATGAACAAGCTATCAAGCAAATTATTCGACTACTCTGAATCAGGAGACTGTTTTATTGCTTTTATGGTCCATTACATTAGACCGAGTTAATTTAGTCTATCCAAATGGTGTCTCCCAGAGCAAGGCTTGATAAGTTAGTCCCACAGTTAGGACAGCAGTTGGCTCATTTGCTGAGTTTTTTTTTTGTTGGGTTTCAAGTGGGGAGGAGGGAGGGGGGGTCAAAACAAATAAGTGTGTGGCCCGGAATAGACCTGGTCTCAGCTGTATGGTCTGCATTGGGCTCGACGAGTTGTCGCTGGGGTCTTGTGTGTTATTGTTTTTTTGCTCGCCCAGCTGAGTAAAGCAGAGTAAACTCCAGATCTCACACAGCCTGACAGCCTCCTCCAGGCAACACCAGGCAGGAGAGGTTACTGCTAAACTTTTCCAAGTCAAAGACCATCCCATAAAATACTGTTTTAGACCCCCACTGAGATGAAGGAGATGTGCTCAGGAAGCTCAACCTTAAAAGAGTTTCCTGTTTTCAGATGTGATTTGTGAATGAATTTCAATTTGCTCTCATTTAAACAATACTTTTAAAAAGCTGAGTCTCAACTTAGATTTATGCAATTTTCTCAAAGCTGAGGATATTTCAAAACTAATTTTGAAGGGAAATGGGTTCAATAATATCCTTGCAGATTTAGAAAAATAACAAATATACACTAAGATAAGTTGGAAGCAGTGCATTTTGGGCACTTTTGGTTAGTAAATTACCATAAGATTAATCAATGATATAAAAATGTCTACCGAATCCTGTAATTCATTAACTGTATCTTATACAACACACTTTATAAAGAGTTTATTATTGTAAAGCTCCATTACTAACAACAACTTTGGGGTTGCCAGGTTGTGAAAATCCTTTTCGCCCAAATGCTTTGTATCCATTTGGTAAACATGCAGTTATAAATGGCAACAAGAACTCATGGGTCTCTCACTCTCTAACAAGCTATCATGTAGGCATTTATAAATAAGTTATTAATACATTAATTGGGATCAAATGCTGCAGACGGATGAGGATGAACACCATGCAAAAGGGATTTTTCACCAGAAACCTATATGTAAATTATTATCTTTGGCTAAACACTAATCAATCGATTACATTAAAATAGCTTTATTGGCATGACCATAATGACATACAATATGGCCAAATACTTGTATATGTGCCATATAAGTGGTATAAGTGGTAACAATGGATTTGCTAATCCAAAAATATTAATAGATTATTGTCATATTTTAAATTATCATTATCAAAAACGAGCTTCTTTATTTTCACTTGTGATAAACCATCTGATTTTGCCCAGGGCCTTGTTGTCACAAACAGTATGTGCTTTAATATTTATTATTTCATTCAATATTAAACGCTAACGGGTGATGAAAAAAATCACAACAGTACTCTTCAATAGGGAAAACATCTCCCAAAACCATAAATAATAAATTGAGAGTGCTGTCAATCACAGGCACAGCTGTACTTGGCAGATAATTGTCTCCATCTATTAACTATGTATCATGTAGCTTCAAAGGTAGATTCTTTTTTATTTCAATATTTCCTTATCAGTCGGGGGGAAATATGAAATATGATGTTCTGGTGCTTGGTTCGCCATGGTCTTGGAGATCAGTACAGTTATAAACCAAAGCAAGAAGGGCTTATAACAAGTTAAATATTTAAAAGATATATATATATATATATATTTTTTTTTTATTTGTAATTTGTAAAAAAATAAATAAAAAGGAATAAACATGCTCAGCTGACTAACGCAAAGCAAAATTCCTGTGGGCTATAGATTGCTTTATCACAAACACTCCTCTGACTATTTGGGAACCAGAAACCTATGAATTGTACATTTAATGATATTTAAATATGGCTGCAATTCATCAGTGTAAACCCGGATTGGAAGTGTGCATTTTAGCAATGTTTTGGCATTTATTGAGGAAAGTTTACCAAAACTCATCTCATCAAGCAAGGCTGCTGTTATCTAGAAAAATCCACCATGCAAAGCTTAAACAATGGCGATATATTTTCACTCATAGTGTATGAGCTGTCCATTACATTTGACTTAATTCCGAAATCACTGACCAGTTTCTTCTTTGTCTCTCTCTCTCTCCTCAGGCATCACTACCAAGTCAGCCAGCGATTTGCTTCAAGGGGAGCCAAGGGGTAAGATGTTTTGCATGTTCTCCTAATGCCTCAGAAATTGAATGCACTAATTGGTTCTGTTTGCTGTTGAACGCACTTGTGACAGTTCTTCTGCACATCTTATTTGATTATTAAGCACTCTCATGCATCAATGGAGAGGTCAAAAACCCTCTCACTGAAATGGCAATCATGGATTTTGTTGGCTTGGACTTTTCTCTTTCTTAAAACCAAAAGATGCAGTGATCAATGCTGATATTGTGGCTACTTTGAATTCAATAGAGCCCAAAGTGTGATAGAAAGATGTCTAATAATTTGCTCACGTGTCCCATGGTGTATTAAATATCAAAGACAAAGTACAAAATCTACCAAAATACTTGTCACTGAGAGCACGAGGGCATTCCTGTATAGCGTATGTAAAGAAAGATGCCTGTGTCCGTCCAGATTAGCCGGGCCACTATTACACCCGCCCCAGCTCTGCCTGCTAGGCTACTACACATTTACCACACAATCGGCCCTGTCTAAAAGGAGCTGGTCTAATCCCCGCAAGAGCCGATTGCATTGACGAAAGTGACTTTACTCTGTACACAA